ATATATATATATATATATATATATATGCTGCGCCTACGTAGGCATTCACATCAAGATATATGCTGCACCTGAATTTTCATTTACTAAAACCCAATTCATATCCTCACCATATCCCTAAACAGGCCTAAAAACGAGTACACAGTCTACAGTCAGTGTATATATATACTGATATTTTAGAGGAGTTATGCTGAGCTCGGCCACACAACACAGAGCTCGGCAATTCTTAGTGTGCACTGAAGTGGTGCTGTACATCATTGAGTAAAGCGGTGGGCGCCAGCTGTTCACTACATACTCCATGTTACGTTACACACACAGGTGCACAATATCTATATCCAGACTCATTGAATTCTCTCTAAAATACTCTAAATTACCAAATAACACAGTTTATACCCAAATCCATTCATCCAATATGTGGAGAGGAGAAACGGTACTGACTGTTGCCTGCCCCCGGAGGGGTCATGCCTCAGCGGCCGAGCGAGCCATAAAGCCTGTGGGCTGTGGGATTTCGTAATGGAGTTGGCCACAATTCTGGTCTAAATGACTCTTATTAAATACTAATATTGCATTATATTGCGTTCTTCACAGAAATACTAAAGGCTTGTGGGAGAGCATATTGTAGTGCCCGGGCGGGCACTACACTCCCCGTGCACAGCAACACCCTGCCATGCGATTTGGTCTTACGATGAGGAAAACGGTTCTAAAACTGATCACGAGATTGGTGGTGTCTTTTTCTTAGTTAAACTGTGTATTGAAAAACTGAAACGTATGTGGTTAGTGCACTGCATCTGCACTACGCGCCACAATCGAACCCCTCGAGCATGCCAAGTTGGGACAGTCCGGGTATCCAGCCAAATCCCCCTTGAAGGGCCCCAAGTGGTATTCATTACCTGATGATATTTATGCAAAAAATATAGTTCGCTTCTTTGAAATAATTCAAACTAAGCCTGCCAGTGTGTGTTTGGCGCACCGGCAGATCACCTCAGCTGGCCTCCTGCTGCCGCTGGACCGTCACAATAGCTGATTTGGACAAGTTTACGGGCTTTTAAATGTGTTTCAGACAGACCAATCCCAACAAACAATCCAGGCGAGTTGCACAATTGCAACTTCCGTTCCAATACACACAATTCCTAAGGCCTCAGCTGGCCAGCTAGCCTGTACGAGTATGTGGAATGCAGGAATGCTGTGGCTGTGCACTTTTATCTATGCTGGTACAACTAATGTGTGTGTGTAGTACCGTACGCCCTTATTGCACGTAGAATTCAGCCAAAGCCCTTGATCATACTGAGAGGTTGTCGTGAGCTCGCATGCAGCCAACAACTGGGTAAGAATCACTAAAAAAGCGGCTGAGCTCCCCCCCAATCTTCAGTCCTACTGAACGCTGAGGCCTAAGGCTCTTCTGATGCAATATCTGGTGGCCTGACAGGAGTGGCCATCACCAGAATAGTTTTCTAGTTTATTTCTGCTGCTAGTGGTTACTAGTTATGCACCGTGCTGCAACTAGTGCCGCGGGGGTCCTTGGCACGCTGGGCAAAGGGATGGCTTGGGTTCAGGAGCCTTGCGATAAGCTATAACGCGCGCTGCTCAAATTGGAGCTGCAAGGGGACCCGTAGGGGCAAAGAGCAACCAAAACCCCTTCAGGCTGTTTGCATTAATATTGTAGACAATTGTGTGGTGCGGTCTTTCATATGGCACTCAGTGGGCAGCAGGCACGCATTTAAACTATGTATAAGTAAGTGCTACTGACTACGCGTCCAAGCTTACTCGAAGTGCATATACTAACGCCGCACAGAGCGTACTAAACAACAGTCCGTGGCAATTGTACGAAAAGGAGCTTCCCCCTGCACATTCCGCTCTGGCTGTGAGCTGCTTCTGCTCGTGCCTTCTCTTCCGGCCTTGACGGGTGCCTTCTACTTCTGCATTTCTCCTGGAGGAATCTGAACAGGTAACTTGCGCGCACAATTGGACGGACGCACACTCGGCGAAAACGTCACCGTTGAGAATAGTTAAGAAGCGTAGACGCCAATGGCAGGGTGGCTTCCCTCGAAACCTCCTGCGTGGAAAAGCAGTTTCGAGCCCGTTGGTGCTACTGCGGCAGTAATAGCACACGATGACCACAGCTAGGCAGGCCTGACGCCGGAGCTTTCTGTTCTTGTAGCTCATGTTTTGAAGTTACGCTGTCTCCTAAGATCCCATAAGATGTTTCCATCTTCTGTTTGGCAGCATGGGTCCGGCAATCGGAACATTTAACCAAAGGCTACCACCAACACTGGAATTCCATTCAAACCTTGCGCACCCGGGTCTCCTTGTGCTCCACCCAGATGAATTTATAAGTCGATGCCCCTGCTGGTGCTGCTGCCCTTGCAAGGAGAAACTGGGCTGTACGTACGGCTGTACGTATAGCTCCTGCTGCGGTTGCTGCTGCTGCTTGTCCCGCAACTTCTGGAGAAGTTGAAGTCTCGAGTAAGTTCCTCTGAAGAATTCCTAAACAGCCTGTGGCCTGGTAACGAAGCCCTGCTAGCAGCAGGAAGCTGTGCCTGTTGCACTGCTCCCCAGGTGGGTCTTCGTCTGGCACTCTGTTTGCATGTTGAGCTCCTTTCAGAACTCTGCTGTAGCTTCCATAACTGCTCCTTGCTGTCTCGCCCATCTTGTAGTGTGCTCTTGCCGAGGTGCAGCAGAAGATACTGCTTTGGGAAACTTGACAAAGAGCTTGCAACGCACTTTGCAGAGGCCGTGCAGCGCTTCCTTTGCTCGCTGCTGACAAGTCTTTGGGGTCGCGTCCTACAAAGTGCATTAAGGTTTTCACGGTACCAGCTTCACGAGCTAGAAGGTTTCTAATGGAAACGGCAAGTTGCACCCCCGTAATAGAAAGAGCACAGGGACTTCAAAATGCCAGGGACGACGGTGCAAACATTGTTGATGACAAGCCCTGCCGGGCCAGCTTTTACACCGAAGGCTGCTTCACTTAGTGATTCCCTCCTCGCCGCAATGGAGAGTTACGATTCCTTGAGCTCAGTGTCTGTGACCCTCGCGTGGGCTTCAGCGCTTCTACATTCATCTACACACCCTGAAATTTCGGCCCCTGCCCGGTAGTAGCAAAGCTTTCCCGCGCAACCCGAAACGCGGCGACCCCCATCCGAATCAGAGGTTAGGGAGAGTTTGTGGCAGTAATGCAGCAAGGCGATAGGTAGAAGGGTAGAACATAGATCCCCTTGGTGCGCGGGGCTTGACGGGAGACAGTGCAGGCTCCAGGGACCCACGTGCGGCTCCCTGGGGGGCGGAAAGCCCCACAGGAGGAGCAGGCACCGTTGCTCGAAAACCCCCTTCCACTGAACGCTGCTGCAGATTTGTCGATATTGTGGAGGAAGACATGGCTGCAGCAACACACGCCAACCAGCACCCCGCATGCTGCAACAATAACAGGAACACTGTTAGCACCAGGAATACACATGTGGCACCAACAACACTGGCGTGGTACGTGCTTGATGGGCAGCAGTTGCAACAGCAGAAGCGTAAGACATACAGGAAAGCGAGCAATAAGTGCAACAGCAGCAGCAAAAACAACAACGGTAGCCCCAGTAGTACTGCCAAGTTACTCGAGCGATGGCTTTCCGCTCCTACTGGAGTGGTATGCGTGTCCGAGTCATCGTCCTTCTGCAGCCCGAAGGGATCGAAGTCCACAGCAATCGGGAAGTACCCATCTGCGTCATTTGTTGCCGTGACTTCTTCACGACTCATCGGGGGGTGGAGGAAGGCGCTATCCTCTGCAGCGGCTACAGGGGCCCCTTCTGATACAGGCGGCGCCTCATGCGCGGGCCCAGAGCAGTACCTCAAGGCTTTAAAGAAGTCTTGCACGCATGGCAGGTCGATGTTTCTGGCTAGAGTGCTGTTCTCTGCAGAGCCTCCGCAGCTTTTCTGCTCCACTGCAAGGGCGTCTTCGGATGTAAACCTGTTGGAGGTGTGTGTGGTGTCTCGAAGCTCATCGTCTGCCTCGCTCGTGACTCTTGTGGTGTTGTACGCCAATAGAAACAGAAGTTCCTCACTGCTTATATGTTTCAACAACGCCCGTCTCATTATGGAGTTTTGCCGCATCAGTTCAAAGACCTTCTTCTGAAGGTTCGCCTCCATGCTCTCATCAGGTGTCAGGCCTGTACCCCGTCGGTGTTCCCTGTGGGGAGACTCCTCCCAAGCGGAACACTGGACAGAAGGCGACGGGCAGAGCGGCTGCTGTATGCTCTCACTTGGAGGACACAGAGACGGCACCTCTGGAAGGCAGCTCCCTGGAGTGAAGTTGTTGTCATGTGTGGCCTGCTGAATGTTCCTCGGCGTCTGCGGACCCTCTTCAGGACTTGGAACAGCCTTTTTCGCGACGCTCGGAACTGCTGACTCCCTCTGGGCTTTTCCCCTGGGTGTGCTCTTGCTGCTCAGAGCCCGAAGTTGAGGTGTTTTGCTGTCCCCCAACGAGCCCCGCTTATCTCCCGTTGGCGACGTGGGTCGCATCTGTTGGGCCCCCAGACGTTCCCCCTGGGCCTCCTGCGACCGTTTCTACAGAGCCGCAAGCAGCACAACTGGAAGAAACGTCGTGATCAACCACACACTGTGAACAGGAGCAGGCGGGTGCTGTCTTGCCTGTGCTTGCGGCAGTTGCGACATCCTGCTGAGGCCTTAAGTATTCTCAGCCCTGCTCACCAATCTCCTTGGGGCCCTTGACTGGGCCATATTGCTCAGTGGAAGCTGCCCCGTGCCATCGGCACTCCTGCCATGTCTTCTGGAAGAAGGCCGCAAAAGGGACCTCCCCAAGCCTAGCGGCGGGCTTGTCTCCAGTGGCATCCCCCTGTACATCCGCCCAAGAACAATAAGGACCTCCGTCGGTACAGAATCGACGCAGAGGGCGAATTGCGGAGCTGTTATGGCAAAACAGTGCAGTCAAACATGATTATCTACGAATCAATACGCGCTGCAATGTCGAAACCTGGGACAGAGGATGTTACAGGTGCTAACGGGGCCGGGGGGTTTATTTTGTGGAAGGGGGGAAAGAGGGTAGACAGTCTTCCCCACAAGAGAAGTCATGCACAGCAAGAAGAATAGTGAGGTTGAAAAGAAGTTGATAGATTCGGGGAGTGATAAAATGGGAAGAAAGGTGGACGGAGAGAACTTCCCAGGTTCCACAAAGCCGCTAGCGGACGGACCAGTGGCCCACACCACCAAGCCTCGCCAGGCTCCTAAGAGGCCCGTTTTACTCTCAGATAGAAAAATAAAGCTGTTTATATTCCCTTCACAGTGCTGGTTCAGCCCTCAAGATGTAATTCGGTTGAAAATATGCACTCCGCTGCGGCACAGTCGTAGCTGCAAGTCGGCTACCGTCTAGAGCTGCCAGTATTAGGGCAGAGCAGCAGCACCGGGATTTGCAAGTAACCCTCATCCTTCTCTTCTACATGGGTATCTTTGCTCTTCTTTACATTGCAGTAAACGGTGATGTCTTTAACTGCAATCAATACACCGAAAGCGTTCTCCTCCTTACCGTGGCCATCGGTGAAGCAGCACCACCGAATCGGTTATCTGTTAGGAGTAGAGAGCTAATGCCTGTCATAAGGTGTAGAGAACTAATAAGCAATTGAAGCTTTACAACTAAGTTTCGTAGAAAAGCATCCCGAAAGCGACATAATTGCGGAAAACCCGCCTTCTGCTGTGTTCGGTCTGACGGCCCCTCACGGCAATCCTCCTAGTGCGATCTCTCGCATTTTTTGCAGTGTCGCCTAACTTGTAAACACACGTGAAATTCGGATGGATGAGATGAAACACCGCTGCTGCAGCATAGACAAACGACAGCATTGGCAAAGTGAGCTACCGATGACCGTATTACAGTTGCTCTTGCACCCGCGCTAGCGACGTCCGTTGAGAAGAAGCAATGGCAGAAGAGAAACCATCATGTAGTAGCGTGTTTGTTGTCGTTAAGTTGAAAAATGAGCTTCTGCTCTTTCTTGGTGCACGTAGAGCGGATGCAGCACGCGCGCTGCCACTGTAGAAATGGTGGCACAAGCTGCAGCTTCTGCCGTAAGAAGTTGCGCCAGCAGCGGCAGAAGGTGGTGAGTCTGTAGGAAAAGTATGGAATGTCGCCCTTTTAGGCGCACAATAGCGGCAAGCCTCATGGAGTCAAGCTGTGGAGATGGAGCCGTTGGGATGCAGATTCGTTGTTTGTTGGTTGTGTAGTATTTGCTGCCCATTGTGCTCTTACCCTAGAAGCAGGACCTCGGAGACTCCTGCACTTGCAGGGGCTGCACTTGTGCCTCTGGGTCTTCAGGGTTTGACAAGTTAAGGGATTCGGCTATGGAGGAATAGAACACGGCAACAACGACCGTAGCATTTTATGTTTCCTGTTGTTGCAAACGAAAGCTAACAGCTGCACTTCTGCGCTGTAGCAACCGAGTAGCTGCACTGGCCTTTGGTGAGGAATCAGCACGTCCAGCATCAGCTGCAGTTTCAGCAGAAGTAGCAACTGCCCGCCCCAACGGAAATTCTCAACTCCCTGAAGCAGTGGGGGCTACGAAACGCAAGGCAGAAGTGTCGTGTTTACCGCTTTTAATAAAGGAAACAACGCGCCCAGAGGCAAGAGGCAACTGTGTTGGTTGCGGGGGAGCAGAGGTAGCACAAGTGAGGATCGTTCGGTTCTGCGCACTTCATCGAGAACACGCAGCAGCAGCAAAGCGTATGAACGCTGAAAACCCAGCAGCAAGACCACAAGATAGGCTAATACAGGCGCCGGTACTGCGGAGAATAAGGCGTACACCCCTCACAATCTTGGCTGGCTGCTTAGGCCTGCACTTGCCGCAAGCCATCTTCTGTGAACCACTGGACTCCCTATGCAGTTGTGTCACGACCCATTTTCCGTTTCAGGTATGACAAGGTTTCTGTGTGCGCATCCAAGACACAACCACCCGCGCAGCACCGGCGTTGTTACCAAACACACTCAGGGAGAGGTCGCAACAGCAGCAGCAACAACCGCAACAGAACCTGCTACTGCTTTGAATTTAGAACCCTTTTCATTCGGCCTCTAACAGTCGCCACTTTCTCAATCTGCACTGCGCAGAAATACAACGCGAGACGCGGGTTAGTCGCCAAGGGATGCCTCTCCGCCTGTGGGAGCGCGGCAGCCTGGCTGCGCGAAAGTAAAAGACAAAGTTCCATATAAAGTTCGTTGTTTCCACTGTGCGTGCTCATCTCTTTCACCACCCGTACACCGCGGCAGCCCCCAGCCCCGCAGGTGACTTCCCAGGCTGTAGCTGCTGCGAACTGCAAACCCCTCTTTTTGGTTCATAGGTTCACAGGCATGCAGCTTATCATCCCAAGGACACCGGAATTACCGGGCTCGAGGACCGGAGAAGAGCAGTAAACAGGAAAGGAACCCACCCCCGTCTACTCAAGGTGACAGGGGGTGCCCAGCGATAGGAGAGAAATTTAAAAAGCCACCTCTTCATATGTCTCAAATGCTGGACGGGAGATATTCACCTAAAATGTCGAATAATGTATTTTCACACTCAAAAGCAAACAAACAAGAAACCCGGACACGGCCGCAAGATGCACGCCGACGCCTGCAGCTGCTGCAACAACCACCCCAGGGACACAAGGCCAGGAGCTAGGGTTTTTTCACTTAACTCTCTTCGGGCTTCTCCGCGACAAAATAAGCAGCATCTTTATTTTGGTGGCTCTCGTGAAATAAAGGGTAGGAGGAGCGGCAGTTGACTCGGTGGAACCAGCAACTGTCCTTGCAACTACTGCACTGCCCAGGACACAGCAGAAGCAGCAGAACCGACGAAGCGGCTTTTGCTACTGTCACTGCTGGCTCGTGCTGGGCTTGTAGCGGTTGCTGCTGTAGGTTAACTTCGCGGGATGAGGGAGGACACAGCAGCAGCAGTATTGTTTTGGTGTTATCAAGCAACGGCGCCGCAGCAGCAGCCGGCAGCAGCAACACCAGCGCCTCGTTGATGCAACGCAGCAGCAGCAGCAGCGGTAGCGACGGCTTTTTTGGCTGAAACACAGCAGAGTATACATACACTCAAACAAACTAGCCCAAAGAGGATCTTTTTTGTATCCTCTTCTCCTTTACTCCTCGTCCTCTCTGCTTCCTCCTGCTGCCTCGTGGCAGCAGCAGCTGCAGCTGCTGCGCCCGGAGCAGCAGCAGCATACCTTTTAAGAAGCTTATCGAGAGGCTTCATCTAAGCTAAAAACGACACAACGCACCTCCAAGGTGACTATTTCTGTCGTTTAAGGAGCCGGAGTCCTCCGGCTCGCCGTGCTGTGGCCTCGCAGCAGCAGCAGCAGCAACCGCTGCCGTTGCTGCTGTCCATTTTCCGCTCTGAAATATAGCGCGGTATTCGTTTCAATCTTATATCTGGCTTTTTCCTGAATCGTAGGCCATACTTTCTGGCGATTGTTCACGGCTACTGCTGCTCTTGGTGCCTGGGGGGGGGC